AGAGAGGTGCGCAGGGCAGTGTGGGGGGAGAGCGCGTGGCCTCAGCCTGTCAGTCAGGAAGGACCGGCCAGAGGAGCTGGCTGTCAGCTGGTACTTCGGGCTGGGGCAGGACTGGTGTTCACTGCAGACGGAATAGCATTTTCAGAGGGCTCGGGCAGGAGGGAGCGTGGCACCTTTTGAGGCGTGGAGAGGGTTCTGGTTTGGCCTGGGGTCAGGTCTGGGTGCGGAGTGGCAGGAAATGAGCCTGCAGACAAGATCCCTGGAAGGAGATCTGGCTTTACCCCCGAGCGGCAGAAAGCCTTGGAGGGGCTCTGACTGGGGTGGCCACGTGAGCACACGGGTGTTTGAGCACGTGGCAGGGTGTGTGTGTTTGGGGGTGAAGGCTGGCCTCAGCAGTGGAGGGGGGAGCTGCACGTATGTTGGGAAACCCTTGAGGGTCGTGTCGCCCCCACAGTCAGCTGTGGTCCCAGCTCCCGAAGGCTCTAGACGCCCTGGGAGGGCAGGGAGTTTGCCTTGTTCTTTCCCTGCTGCATCCCCAGTGCCTGGCACATAGTAGGCGCCCAGCAGGAATCTGTGAACTCTTGGATGAGCTGTGCTACTTAGAGCCCCTCCGTGGCCCCGTGGAGCCCGTCCCATGCCCCGCTGAGCCCTGTGGGCATTTCTGCGGTTCGGAGCGTGTCTCATGCTGGCCCCAGGGCCGTGTGCGGCCTCCCTATGCTCCAGAGCCCCGCTGAGCCCCGGCCCTGCAGGGGAACTGTCACCCACCCATGACCTCAGGAATGCACCGTCCACGGGCCCGTGTCCCCCAGACCTCCTGGCCCACGGCCACCACTGGACACTCTGAGGGCCATGCCTGTGGCTGCTCGTCCGTAACGAGACTTCTGTCCTCTCCAGGCTTGGAAGAGGCGTCACAGACACTGACTTCGAGGAGAATTTGCTTATTTCCGGCTAAGAGATGGGGCTTCACCTGGGCCCCAGGAGCCCTAAATGGGCTTCCCACAGGGACTGGAGCCCTCAGCTGGGTGCTCTGATGGTGAGAAAGAAGAGCCTACAGTTCAGAGCCCCGAGTGTGAGCACGAGAAGCAGCCTGGAGGCCAGAGTGCAAACCGTGGCCTCCACTCACTTCTCTGGGCCATGAAGTCCACGGCTGGCATTCGGTGGCTCCTGGGTCCCTTCCGTGGCATCTAGGGGAAGGTGTGGGGCAGCAGAAGCCACAAAACGCTGAAGGAGAGTTTAGTACCTGCTAGGGCAGAAGTTGGCAGCTACTAAGAAAAAAGGGGCCAGGTTCTGACCCGTCCCGTCTGCCGTCAGGCTGCAGCAGCGGTGGGGTGAGGAGCGTGTCTGCCCACAGGCGTGGATGGCGACCGCAGTGCCTCCTCCAGCTAGTTCCTGCGACGCCAGCCATCCTTTTGGGCAAGAATTGTGCCCGGCTCCCACATCCTGGAACGTGCTGCCTGCATCCTGCCGCCTGACCAGATGCTGGCGTGTACGGAGGGGCTTTTCCGAGAGCCAGGGAACAGTGAGGAGAGGTGCGGGAGGGGAGACCTGGACGGGTAGGGGTGTCTCCAGTGCTGCCTGGCTCTGCAGAATCGAAACCAGCCTCTGGCTTCTTGAAGGACAGAAGAGCTGCCCATGCCGGAGCAGGGATGCATGGCCTCTGCCACGAGGTCCCCCATGGGATGATCCCCGGTTTCCGAATTCTCACCTGGGGACAGGGCAGTGGGTGGGCCGTGTCGTCTTGTTGGCTTTTTCCAGCTCTGGTTCTCTGTGGTTCCTGTGTGCCCCAGAGCCAGGCGTGGAGAGCGGAATGACGGTCACCCTACTGTGGAAGCCTGTGAGATAATCAGAATGTTCCAGAAGCATGAAGTGATAGCGGGCAGAGCGGAGGGGAGTTTCCAGGGGGTCGGTGTTTCGCAGGCTCTGGATGTGTGGGTGGTGAGCAGACTTTCTGGCCTGCCCTGGCTCCCACACCAGAACCCCCGTCCTCGGCGTCTACACTGGCGTGCCCGCACTGTCCAGCTCGAGAAGTGCGTCCATGCGCACGGCCCCATCTGCGCTTCCTGGTGTCCCACGGACCGGGGCATCCAAGCCGTGCCCCCGTGCCTTGCTGAGCCTCAGTTTTCTCAGAAGAGCATCCTGAGCGATAAATAACGTGGATGTGTGGACATGGCAGATGAGGCGGGTCCTGAGTGAGTGCTGGTCACGCAGCCCTGGGCCATTGGAGCCCAGGCCTTGTGTGCTTGCGGCCGCAGGGCCTGCCGCGGGCTGCACACGGAGCCCACGGATCTGAGCAGTGGGACTGCACGCAGGGGTGCTCGCACACCAGCAGCTCCGTGCATGAGCATTGCGCCCAGTTCCTTGGAAGCCGTTCACTTGTGCCTCACGGAGCACCGAGCTTCTGCCAACGTGGCAGCACGCTGATGGCCATCAGTGGCCATTAATGTCTTTCCAACGTACACACCCTCGTCCGCATTCTTTTCAGGACGACAGAAAACTAGAGCCCCGTCCTGAGGAAGTTTCTCCAACGCCGTGTGTTGTTTTGTTGAGCTATTTAGAAGTAACACCCCAGCTCAAAGTACTGCTGTGTGCTTCACCTGAAGACGGGCGTTCCCATTCATGACCTCGGTAAACACCATTAGAAATTAACAGTTTCCTATTATGATCCAGTACCCAGTCTTTGGTCAGACTTATCGTCCCAAAACTGTTTTTATACTTTTTTTTTTTAAGATTTTATTTATTTATTTGACAGAGACAGCGAGAGAGGGAACACAAGCAGGGGGAGTGGGAGAGGGAGAAGCAGGCTTCCCGCGGAGCAGGGACCCCGATGCGGGGCTCGATCCCAGGACCCCGGGATCATGACCTGAGCCGAAGGCAGACGCTTAACGACTGAGCCACCCAGGTGCCCCTTATAGCTTTTTAAAACAAAACAAAACAGAATCCAGTCAAGGTATTTGCCTTTGGCTGTTTTTTCTTTTGGTCTTATTAAGTCAAAAACAATTTTTTTCATGACATTGACTTTTTTTTAAGATTTATTTATTTATTTATTTGAGAGAGACAACACGCCAGGTGGGGAGGGGCAGAGGGAGACTTAGCAGACTCGGTGCTCAGAGTGGAGCCCGACACGGGGCTCCATCTCAGCATCCTGAAATCACCACCTGAGGCAAAACCGAGAGTCGGAGGGTTGCTGACTGCGCCCCCAGGCGCCCCCATGGCACAGGCCAGCCAGTTGTCCCGTGGAATGTTAAGTGCAAAGCCTCGGTTCGGTCCATTCAGGTCAGTTTTGGCAGGATGACTTCGAAGGGGATGTCGTGTCTCCCATGGTGCCATTTTGGGAAGCAGATACCAGCTGGTGCCTCTGAGTGCTGTGGGTTTGGTCACTGCTCGGGGTGATCGCGGATCTCTGCATTATCAAGGTTCATCCGGAGGCCATCCACCGGGCGGTGCTTGGCAGCGGGGATGTGTCCCCTCTTCCCTTCATGGTCGGACCAGCCACTGATGATAAAGAAGATTGCAGGGCAGTGTGTGGCAAATCCCGTTAACGCCTCCTGCACTGATGGGCCGGCGTTGTTCTGTAACCCTAGACTGTGTCATGCATCCTGTATGCATGGGATCATTGTCAGGCGGTGAGGAGCCCCTGCCGTACGGGACGGGGTCAGGTCTTGTGTGGACGGGCTGTGGCTGAGCCCTGCCCACAGCAGTCACACCGCCGGCCCCAAAGACAGCATGTGCCATCCCCCCAATAGGGACAGAGACACATGGCCTCTGCTTTTCAGCTTGCCAGCTGCTCGGCAGAGTCACAGCCCACAGGGGTCCCCAGCACCAGCCACTGTCCTCCTTGTGTCAGGACTGAGGGCTTGGGGTCCCGTGATTCCCTCAGCAGAGAGTTGCACGAGGCCGTTCCTGGGATCGGTTACCACCCGCTGACATCCTAGACACTGTACTGTCTTCACGTCCCAGTTAATTCCTGTAATTCCTTCACGTGACCCCTCTTTGGGTCCCATGCCTCCAAATCCGCGCTGGTACGTCCGGTCAGCAGTGCGGTAACCCCCACGTCTGTAGGGTTCTGCAGTTATAAAGCACGTTTGTCTGACTGCATCCACTGTCCGGGAGTAGACCCTGCTTCCTGTCGTCTCTGTCCGGGGTTCCTCTGCAGCTCCTTCCTGTCACCGCCAGGAAAGGGCCGCAAGGCCACCGGGCTCTCGGTGGCGGACCTCCCACATCCACAGTCAGCAGCAGCACTGATTTGCCCGTGGCCCCTGTGCTCCCTTCCTGCCCCGGCCGCTGGCTGCCCTCCATGGGTCCCAGTTCCCCCCCACCGCGAGCACTGCCACCCCAGAGCCCGAGTCACTGCGGCTGCTTCAGCCTCACGTCCTCTCTCGCTGCCACTGTGCATTTCCACTGTGCTCTGTCTGGGCTTGCAACTCTTGCCGGGTCTGCGGGGAAAGGGAACGAGACCAAAACCACGGCACAGCCTGGGGACACGTCTGTCTGGGGGCACCAGGACTCAGACTGTCCGTGCTTCTGCAGTCTTGGCTAAGGACCCCGTGCCCTCAGTCCTGGCCACCCACGGCCTGGAGGAGCCTCTTGACTCTGGTGCCCTGCCCCCATGACCACTTGTGCGGCTTGTGCCCCTGCACCCCTGAGGGAGTGCAGTGTAGACACGGGAAGTGTGTTTGTGGTGACACATTTCCAGGTGTCTTACTGTGTCGTAACAGGTGCCTCTGAGCAGTCTCCCAGCGGGTGGAAGGACGGGGCAGCACTGCTTCCCAGCAGCTTGGTACCGGCTAGCGGTGCTGTGCTCCCCACTCGCCCCGAGCACCCTCTCTGGGCCTTGGTTCCTGTCTGCACTCGTGCGGCCTTTCACTCGGACACCGAGCCTCGTAGGAGCAGAGGAGTGTCTGTTGCTTGACTGACTGGTTTCTGGAGCTGGTGGCCCTGTGTGTGCGGCTGCCTCTGCCCCTCCACTGGGCCTGCTCTTGACTCCGTGTCTGGTCTCCCAGGACGCGAAGCCCCCCTGAGCCAAGGACGCCATGGCCACGTCAGCCCCCCTGCGCAGCCTGGAGGAGGAGGTCACCTGTTCCATCTGCCTCGATTACCTGCGGGACCCTGTGACCATCGACTGTGGCCACGTCTTCTGCCGCAACTGCACCACCGACGTCCGCCCTGTGTCGGGGGGCCGCCCCGTCTGTCCCCTCTGCAAGAAGCCATTCAAGAAGGAGAACATCCGGCCCGTGTGGCAGCTGGCCAGCCTGGTGGAGAACATCGAGCGACTGAAGGTGGACAAGGGCAGGCAGCCAGGAGACGTGGCCCGGGAGCAGCCAGACACCAGGCTGTGTGAGCGGCACCGGGAGAAGCTGCATTACTACTGTGAGGATGACGGGAAGCTGCTGTGCGTCATGTGCCGCGAGTCCCGGGAGCACAGACCCCACACGGCCGTCCTTGTGGAGAAGGCCGCCCAGCCCCACAGGGTAAGCACGCCCCTCCCGGAGGCAAGGCCTGGCGCGGACCCCTTGGAAGGCTTCTGGCCGGCCCAGGGCTCAGCCTGAGTCCACCTGTCCCCATGGCTCATCTCTCCGCAGGAAAAAATCCTGAACCACCTGAGTACCCTAAGGAGAGACAGAGACAAAATTCAGGGCTTTCAGGCCAAGGGAGAAGCTGATATCCTGACTGCACTGGTAAGTGGGGCTGTTAAGAGAGAGCCTGAGGCAGTTGGCCACGTGGAGCAGAAGCTAGGAGGCTGAGCAGTGAAGGCTGAGTGGTGGAGCCACTGCCAGAAGGCTGAGCACTGGAGGCTGAGCGCTGGAGGTTCTGTTGGGAGGCTGAGTGGTGGAGGCTGAGTAGTGGAGGCACTGCCGGGAGGCTGAGCAGTGGAGGCTGAGTAGGGGAGGCCCTGCTGGGAGGCTGAGCAATAGAGACTAAGTGGTGGAGGCTGAGTAGTGGAGGCCCTGCCGGGAGGCTGACTACACTAGAGGCTAAGCAGTGGAGGCTGAGTGGTGGAGCCACTGCCAGAAGGCTGAGCAGT